AAACTTTTTTAAACCATATTTACAAAAGGTTATAACTAAAAAAATATATCATGCAAATAGAAATTTTATTAAAATATTTATATAACAATATTTCATATAACTATACCGATATAAATATTTAAAATTTAAAATTTTGAAATTAATTTTTTTTAAATATTAATAGTGCTATAACAAAACTAGAATATATTGAAGATTCATCATTATATTTTTTTTTTAGGATTAAATATATTTTTAGTCTTAAATATCTCAAATTTTATTTTTAGTTCCTCAAAATATTTCTTTCAAAGAATGATCATCTTAAAAATTTTCATGCACACTTTTGGTTCCTCCTGCAACTTAACGACGAATGTCATAACTTAGCGACATAATTAACAGTGATTTATTACTTAGCGACTGAATTAGTGACATATTTAATATTAGAGATCAAAAGTATGGATGTAAATTTTTAGAAAGATCATTCTCTAAAGAAAATATTTTGAGAGACTAAAAACGAAATTTGAAATATTTAGGAGCACCACAAATATATTTAACCATTTTTAAAATGTATTTTTTTATAGCATTTTATATATTTGGTAAAAAATAAAAAATATACTTTTTAAAAATAATTGCTTCAAATAAAGTAAAAAATTTAAATACTTATTGAAATCAGTGTTTTAAAATCTAGATTGTTTCAGTCAGTCATATCAGTTAGACATTGAATCAGAGGATAGAGGGATTTGGTAAAGTTATCAGACTATAATAATTTAAATTGACCTGGTGAAAATCAGTGGGATCTGATCGGTTCACTGGCCAGACCAGTGAAGCAATGAATTTCTTAAACTGCTGGGTTGATGTTTTCATGTTTATTTTTTAACTTAATTATAATTTTGATCCCTCTATTCTCATTTTTCTTAAGTTTCAATACTTTTGTTTTAAAATCTAATTTTACGTATGTTTATAATTATGTTAATTATTTAAAATAATTAAATAATATTAATATTATAAAAATTAAATTTTGTCAAAATTTAAGAATATAACATTTCACGACTAATAGAATTTAGTTTTGCCAACTACACCATAAATCTCTTTGATTTTTAATTTAGTCAAAGAGAATATATATTTACAACAATTATCTCAAATGCAATTCTTATTAAACTATTTTACTATTAATCATATAACAAAATAATATAATAAATTTAGAAATTAGAAAAATTAATTAAACAATATAATAATATTATAAATTAACAAAAAATTTAAAAGACAATTATGTTACCAAATAAAAGAAAACTTATATTTTTATATTATCAGAAATTATTCGATATAACTAATGATCCACTGATTTGATCAGAAATCAAGTGATCCAATAGCTATATCAGGTTGATGATCGATACAAATTTTAAAAAATTAATTAAAATACAAGAAAAAATCAATAGTGGTATACCAAAACTAGAATATATTGAAGATTCATCCATATATATATTTTAAATATATTTTTATAGTATTTAATATATTTGGTAAAATAAATAAAAAAATACATTTTAAAAATAATTACTTCCAATAGAATAAAAATTACACAAAAAATAAATTACATAAACTATCGTGGTCCGCTTATTTATTTTTGGAAAAAACTTAGATGTGGTTTAATTTTTTTCTAATAAAAATATGATAAGTATATAATTTTCTCATACACATATACAATTTCTTTTTATTTTTACTCCCTAAAAAGTATTTTGATATATTTATTATACTTTTATTAAAGAAAAATATAAATTATATAGATTATATCTAAATATTCTCTTTTTTTAAATTTATCACAAAAAAAATACTCTAGTCATCTTATAAATAGCTTATTGCATTGGTTTTCTTATATAGCATTTAAAATTTAAGTAGAATGGCAACCCATAATAATATCCTCCTTTTTACCTTCGTAGTTTTATGCATTGTTTCCATCGGGGTTGCAGGTAACACAATTTTGTAGATTTTCAATTGAAATATTTATAATTCATTTCTTTTTGTTTGAAATGTGTATACTTTTCAATTTAAAAAATATTTCTAATGGCATTTGAATTTATTGATTGAAGGAGTACTAGATGATACATTACATTGCTTTCAAGGAATATGTCCTAATCAGGACTGTACCAAATTTTGTAAAGAAAAAGAAGGCTACCCTAAAGGTGGTTCCTGTTTGGAGGACTCACTATTGTGTTGTTGCATCGGAGCTTGAGAGATCTATGATCGATAATTGTACTTTCTCATGTTTCTCAACATGACTGTGCAATTTAGTATTTATGTTTTCTTTATTAAAATAAGATAGAAATTACATGTGGTTATATAAATCATATATTTAGCATGTAAGGATCTGTTGTCAACGTTATCATTCAATAAAAGTTCAAATTATTTCAAATTATTTCTTTTAATTTATATGAGTTTCAATGTATTTAATCTGTGTGTATTGATAATTTCAAATAATTTCAACTATATAAGAATTATAAAATAAGAATTAAAATAAGATATTTAATACATATATGTATTGTTAATATAGAAAATGTCTTATAAATAAAGATATCTCAACAATTTGATAATACAAAGTTGATGAGAGTGTGAATCTAAATCCTCTTTATTTTCTGTCTATTTCATTCAAATTAAAGATAAAAAATTATTAAATAAATGAAGAGCCTAGTAGTCAAGAACATCACAGAAAATGGAGTAGTAGAGAAAAAAAAGCCAAAAGGGATCTAATTCGATAAATTTAAAGTAACACATATACATAGCCGCATAGAGGAGAGTTAGTAGTTTTTAGACGGGAAATGTTTATTATTTTGAAGACTAGTAAAAAATTTATGCTATAGTAGGGATTTCGTGTGGATTCACATCTCATATTTATTAAATTATTATGTGTAAAGTTTAAATTTATTTTTTAATCGATTAATATTCACATAGTTATAAATATAGGTTAATAGTATATACTTATTTTTAAGCATTGATTCATACTTATAATAAATTGTACAGCTGATTCTCTAACTTCAATTATATAAAACAACACAAAAAAAAAAAATTAAAAGATGAACATTAAAATGAGTCGTTTATAGTTGAGATCTCATTGAAATATTCACATCTACTTGTGAATCTATGCTTATAAGAACCTTCATAACGATAAATAATCTACGGTTGTAAAATTGAGAAATAAAAAACTCTTAGATTAATATACTTGACCAAGAGAGTATTAAGTCTATAATGTTAATCAAATTTTGTTAACAAGATTCTACAGTTTAAAAAAAAATTGAATTTTGTAGTGAATTAATATATAATAATAACAAAAGAAAGATATAAAAGATGGACATTAAAATAAACAGACTCCCACTGGTATCTCATAAATATGTTTAAATATACATGTATAATGTATTTTTGTTTACAAAAATAATTGTATCAACAACAAACTTTTTTCAACAACAAATTGATCCCCGTTTATAAAAATAATTATATCAACACTAAAATTTAAATTTAACAGTCAAACTGTAAATGTATTACAATTACTTGAGTACTTGTGTAAATGTATTCATTCTACAATGTTTTAATGTTATAGTAAAGTAGTACTATTTAGCCAACAATCCTAATTGAGATGAGAGATTTTCAAACGTATTATTTTTGTGAGGGCAAACAACGCTAACACTTTACTTGTAAACAACCAAAATATCATTCTAAGTATAATTAAAAATCACCTTTTCTTAATTTTTTTAATAGAAATTTATTTATTAATTCTATATGGACCTATTATCTAAAGTTTTAGATTTGCACAATTGTTTTCAACATTCCCACAATCAAGCATTAGAATCTTAAACTATCATACATTTTGAGTTTTTAATTTCCAATCCTAAAGTTAGAGAATAAGATAATTTTGTCTAAAATTGACTAAAATTATATCTCATTTTTCCAACATTTATAACCCGCCGAACAAACAATTAGAGAGAATAATTGAATAAAAAATATCATTGCTTGTATGGTTCTTCTATTGCAAAACTTGTAACAAACTTAAATCTCTACTTTATTACAAACACATAAACGACAGTTCTCAAAAGTTTGCACGATCAAGAAAATCTATTTCTGATATTATGAAGATACAAAAGTAATTTTAGCTACAATGATTTACAAGAACATCCACCCTAAGAATAAATCCGTCATCTCGTCTATAACAATTTTACAACACAACTTAAACTGTAATTAACCATTCAATTGGACTCATATGAACTATATTAAAGATTGGAAGTTATACCACAACTTAGACTACAATTAACCATTTTCTAAATGTGTAGTAATATGCTTCTCAAAGATTGTTGTAAGAATTGTAGATGACTTGGAATCAAAACCAATGATCAAATCAAGCATAGAAAAAAAATCCTCCACCATTAACACTTCCCAAAGTTGCTCCCAAAAATCCAACAATTGATCCAACTAAGATTTTCCAATCAAATATCATTTCCTTCATTATATAATGCATGTAAAATAAACTATACAGCAACAAAAATTATAAAAGAAATAATTGTTCAAAATACAAAACAAACACTTACAGGTCAAACAAGTTCATAAGAAGATTTTCCACTCTTGCATAGTGGCCTCATATACTTCTTGATGTAGGATTCTACCTATACAATTCTTCATCAAGACCATATGTAACCATTATGATCCTCTGCTTGGCTCTCTTGTAACTTGTGAAACAAATGGCATGCTGGCTAGATTATATGTTTGATGACCATACATCAGAACATTAAAATCAAAACCTATAAACAGAAAAACCACAACTTTCCCAACCGAGTAACAACTGAATACCTAAATTTGTTCACAATAAAAATTATAGAAGTTAAGGAAAGAATGAAATATTTGGAAAAAAAACACCTAAATCTAAAAAAATAAGGGTGGTAAAAGGATACAGTTGTGTGTTTTACAATCACCGCGTTAGAATTTCCATGCAAAAAGAGTAAGTCAATAGTTTCTCATAAAATTTTGAAGGGATAACAACTCAGCACCTAATCAGTATTGGACTTGAAAAATAATGCCCCATCTTTCTTCAACATTGTAACTTCCAATCCATTTCCAATTTCAAGCATCGTGATACTAATAGTCAGCTGAAACATTGTTATATATTAGAATGAATATAGTCAACTGAAGAGTATGCTACCTTTAAAGAGAAAGTTAAAAGGACAGTGTACTTAGACAAATTATCAATGCAAGTTATTAAAACGGTGATCTTAAACATTTTATCAAACAGGTGGTGTGCATCCAAGTTAAGCCACAATTATATAGATTGTCCTGACAGAACCGAATCCATTTATTAACCTTGTCCTAGTTGAAAGCACAAAACTGAATATCCTGGCATTTATCTTAGATCTTTCCCTTAACTTTCTTCTTTTAAGAGGCCATTTCTCTATCACTTCAGATTCTTCATCAGAGTTGATGACAATAACTTCATACTCAGTAAGTTTCTCAGATTTTTTTTACAACAACAAAGTTTTCATTGACAGCCTCAGCTACTAATATCTACAACATCATTCAAATTCAACCAAAATAGATCAACAAATACACCCTTTCAAGAAAATACCTTCAAAATTTTCAAAAACTAACAAAATAAACAGTATATAGATTAAACATGCACCTTGTTCTTCTCTGCTGCTTGAGCAATAGAAGCCAATTGATTTCTGCAACAAAACAAACAAACAAATTATAACAAATTGTTAAAAAAAAACTTTAATAAAAAAATATATAACCCAAACCTTGTGATGCGTTTTGGCTTATTAGAATGAGGATCTACTGGATTAATCATAAGATTTCCAATATCTTCAAGAACCTTTCCATTTCTTCCTTTTCCTCCAACATTCTTTTTCTTATTCTCACCTAATTCCATTCACAACAAAAAAAATTCAAATCGTGTGTGCAACATCAAAAGTGAGAGACCATCCATCTATGGCGAATATTAATAAATGAATTAAATTACGATCAAACCTAAAAATGTTTTAGATGAAAATGAAATAGCAACTATCAGTGCTACTCGATTAGGTGAAAATAGATCAAACTCAGTGAAAACATATCCAAATTCTATGTGAGGAAAAACACGTGCAATAAAATCAGAATAGCCGGTACTGTCGAGTGGTACATCTACTCGTACCATCTTTGTATGCTTCTACTTTATGCAGTTTGTGGAAGTTGGATTATCCTTATTCCTTCACTAGAACTTTGTGTAAGTGGTTAGAAGAAATAGATGATTTTATGAGAGATAGAGTGTAGTTTGAGTCTTTTGAGTTCTCAAGGAATGCATATAGTCTAGTTGTTGTACCCCAAAATTTTCCCTCTCAATTTCTCAAGATATTTCTCACGAAGATTTTCAAAAAGCTCAAGTTTGCATAAGTACAAAGCAGATCGAAAGGAGTGATTGTAGACAACAGTTCAAATTCAAAATCTGGCAAATAGCCTCCTTCGATGCAAGCTTTATTCACTAGCTTTCGATTAGACATCTGGCCCCCTTCAAAATTGCTTCAAGTTCCCAAGCTTTGATTGAAGAAATAGCCTCTTGCATGCCTGCTTCATACAAGCTTCGATTGAATAAATGGTTATCTTCATGCTAGCTTCAACTGGGCATTGTTTCCCTTTGAAACAGCTTCCTTCGATTTAGAAGAGAAGGGCCTCATGTTTGTGTCCTTCGATTCAAAATTTAGTGGCTTCCTACTGGCTTCTTTCGATTAAGAAGGCAATGACCCTCTGAAAGCTTCCTTCGATTTAGAAGGCAATGGTCTTCTGAAAGTTTCCGTTGATTCAAAGTAGGGACCTCCCGCAGGCAAGCTTCGGTTGCACCATTGGCCTCTTTATGTGTTTGCCTTTGATTCACAAAACCAGGACTTCCTTCATGCCAACAGGCACAAGGCAATGGCCTCCTGCAGCTTTCATTCGATTTAAAAGGCAATGGCCTTCTGAAGGATTTCCTTTGATCCATGAAGTAGGGACCTCCTACATGCATGCCTCATTTGGGCATTCAGGCCTCCTGCATGCAAGCTTCGATTGCACCATTGGACTTACATGTTTGCCTTTGATTCACAAATCCAATACTTCCTTCATGCCAACAGGAACAAGGCAATGGCCTCGTGCAACTCTCCTTCGATTCATAAGCCAATGGCCTCCTGCTGATTTACCTTGATTCACAAAGTAGTGGCCCCTCTGCATGCAAGCTTCGATTGGGAAAGGGATACCTACACGCAAGCTTCGATTGGGCAAGGGCTACCTTCACGCACACTTCGATTAGGTAGGGGCTACCTACACGCGAAGCTTCGATTGGAGTATTAGTTTCCTTCGAAGCCACATACTTCAAATCCAATTCTGAATCCTTTGAGCAAGATTGGTTGAAGAACAAATCTCATAGCCTTATCCTCCAAATCTCACCTGTCAGGCTATGTTACTTCAAAATCTTTACATAATCAGAGGCTTACACAAATTTGTGATACATCACACAAAGATTTGAAGCTTTACCCACTGGATAATACCATTCTTGGATGAAATGGAAAAAAGCTACGTACCCTTTTTTTCGTAAAGAGTACTTTAAACACAAAGTTAGATCCCAATCTGATATTTGTCTGAATACAAGCAATGTCAAAAGCACAAGTCAAATCTCCTGCCCTCAACAGACATCAGGCTCCTACTTGTACTTGAAACTTGGGAACAGCGAAAAGGGATCAAACTTGTTTTTGTTTTCAACCAAACCATGGTTTGTTATTCTACAAACCTAGTTACTCCAACATATCTAACCTTTTCTCTAAATAGAGAAACCATTTGCAAGCTGAAACAGATTTTGGTGGTGTGGAAAGAATCTTCAAAAACTCTCAAACACGTAACACACTCTCAAACCCAGAATCTAAAGAAACGCCGCACTTGTTTCTCCCCCTTCGAATCCAGGAGCACCCAAGACAGCAGCTCAAGTCCAAAACCCACATTCCAGCTTCAAGCAAGGTAAGTCTTCTTGACCCTGACCCTTCAAACATGTAAATAACCATTTCCTTTCGTTTCAAACATCATCATTACCCTTTGGTTTGTTTTCGTTTCCAGCTTCTCTGTTTGCTTTCGTTGCTAATCTTTTGGCTTATTTTCTTTGTTTATCAAACATATTTTAAGAACTAACTTGACCATGAAATAATATTAGCATGGCCTCAACCCATGTTGCTATTTAAACCCAAACGTAAGAAAACACGAAGAAAGATGTTTGAATTGAAGCTTTAGGCTCCGTCCCATACTGCTATCTAACGTCAAATGAAAGGAAGCAGAAAAAAGGTCGTGATCGAAGGATATACTCATACTGCCTTGCAGGTCCAATCGAAAGAAGCTGAAAAAAGGGTGAATCAAAGGGTGCATGCTCACACTGACTTCCAGGCCCAACCGAAAGAAGCCAGGAAGAGTTGAATCAAAGGGCGCTTACTGCCTGGATCGAAGAACTTGTTTTCCCTTATTTTATTTTGTTTTGTTTTTTACATTTTCATGTTGTTCAATATGGTTGTAATAGCGTAGAACCTTTATTTTACGCATTTTTATTACTTTCATAAATGTTAGTAATTAGGCTGTATGGCAAGATAAAACCAACAAGTAGACCACCCTAATCAAAGACAAAAATACATGCAATCAAACACACCATTCACACACATGCACCTCTAGGGTAATCTCACTTGTTGCCTCTGAAAATAGTCATGTCCCTCGAACATGGGCGTTTTAGCAAATACCCTCGATAAAAAGATCATAGTCCCTCGATGTTGCCTTCGGTAAATGATCTAGTCCCTAACAAAAATTGCTAAAACGGCTCACAAGTTTCCTTCTATGACTATACAAACGACCCACTCTCGTCCCTTCACATCCAACGATGGGGCTTCTTATCAATCAATGGTAAGATAGCAACATCTAAAGGAGGAGGAAAAGAACAAAGACCTTTTGAGTAGGTAGGACGCTCGTAGTTGCTTGCTTGCTCACGACTAAAAAAACCATTTTCACACCAACACTTTCAATTGAAATATTTCTAAAAGTCAAAACACTGTACGCATTCTTATAGAGACGAAAATCATTACAAAGGCACTTTTTAAAATCACTTTCAAAAATATCTTCCACAACAAACATCTCTTTGAACTATTTTCAAAACCAACACTTTGTACACATTCTTATAGAGACGAGAATCATTACAAAGATGTTTTTTTCAAAATATTTTCAAACCCATACCACAAGCACATTTTCAAACAAAGAAAGTGATCGAGCAAGCAACTAAGAGCCCGTAGAAAACTACGGATGAAAATGGTGCTAATACCTTCCCTTTTCATAACCTACCCCCCGAACTCAAGAAAACATCTCTAAAGGTCTTTCCTGTTCTTTTCAACCTTTCCTTTTGTTGGATAAAATAAAAGTCGGTGGTGACTCTTGCTATCCACAACAATTGCGATCAAACGCAAAACAACCAAGTCAGTTCTCCCACCATATTACAGAATTGGAGAATCTGCTAGGGATTATTTAAAAGTGGGGTTACCTTATGGATAGATCACATTTACTTGATTTCCTTGTTCGACTTGCTTGATTTACATTATGGTTCCTTGTTTGGGTTTGTATTGATCCTCCACCTGGATCTAGGGAACCTTTTAGGTAAGTAGCAATAGATTATGGAAACTGTACGGTGTAGACCAATATGGTTGAAGCAATGGCTACGTTAGTGTGACACATTTGTTGGTACCGGTATCCCTTGTGTTGAATCGAGGAGAATACGGGGCTGCTGAGCGGTGTCATAAAGTAATAACTAACCTTAGAACCTTAATTGAACAACTTGGCCACTAGGAAGTAGTGAGATAGCCGAATTTGGTGTAAAGCTGAAGATTGGTTTATACTTGATGCTACACTCATTGATACCGGACTTTTGGGATATCTCGACCGCAAGAAAAGATTGATTGAGCTGAGACAATGCCTAAAAGAAAGGTCGGTGATATTGAGACCCCATAGAACCCGGTTACTTTCTAGGACAGGTTAAGCCAACTAAACTTCAAGAGGGTACTTACCTAGAAACTCTATGCAAGCCTAAACCTAAGGACTTGTCTGCTTTGTGTGTATATGATTATTTATACATAAATACTTGCGTGCTTTGCATACTTGTACATAACATCATGACATCATACCATAACATTTTCAATAACAATTTCAAGGATCTCAAGGGCCTATGATGCAGGGTCATATTGAACCAGACGTCAACCAGGGGAAAGAGGATTTATTCTCTTCTAACCAAACGCCGTCAAAGACCAAAGCATGATAACAAGAGTCAAGGGCTATGACCCACTTGACATGGTGAGCTTGATTTTCAGGGAAGGACATCCAATGATACGAAGTTCTCCAATCAAAGTTGTGATCAAAGTTCAACTTCTAACATCTTCTTATGTTTACCCTGCGAGATCCTTGAAAACATTGCATCCATATAACATGCATGTCATTATAATAGTGTTTCTCATTCGCTTACCGCTTGCACAGTTTCGAAGAGGCAACGGACCTCCTCCGTTCGGTATCGTCACAACTCTATTTTATTCTTCATTTCCGTACTTTATCGCAATCCATATGCATACTAACATTAGGTAGAATTCCCTCATTCATCCTTGACTTAGGTCTAACAATGCATGATAAAAGTAGGTTTAGAAATAGGTTAGTCTCCATGTGACTTTTCTTCCCCGTTTGCATTCGCATTTAAAATAAAAACTTCTTTTTTCTTTCAAAATTCAAAACACTTTAAAACTATTGATGAGAATCATGCTTTTGCTTAGTACGGGGAATGATAAGCGGGTCTCTTCTCGATCTTATTGTTCTTAATCTCAAGCATAGGTGTGGTTCAATTCTCAAAGACTCCTTTCATGACTAAGTAGAAAAATGGCTAATATCTCTCTCTTGAGGTCGACTAGTCATCATCTGCAACAAAATACAAACCAACTCAAATCTTTTGTGCGATCACGCACCTTTCTTAAGAAAACCTTTTCAGGTAAGGACACGATTAGTTTACTTATGTGCCAACGCATAAGTCTCCAAAGGTCAAGCTGCGGCAGAAGGCGGAGCTAACTTCTTCCACAAAAAACACAAACAAACAAAAACATATGCGCCGAACTACAGTAGCTCTGATTCCTC